AGGACTGGTCCCCCCCTTAACGCCGCCCTGGGGTTCCTCTACATTTGCACAACCCGCTTGCCCCTCTTCAGACGACCCCTTGTCCTATCTCGAGGAAACAGTCCCACCCCCCGGGGGGAGGATGGGGGGGTGCAGAAGCAGCTGCGCTCTCTGCACGTGGCCAGAGGCTCCCTCTCTACTCCGCCTGCTTGCTAAGGAGAGGAAAGGAGGGACCTTCTTCCTGGAGAGCACCCCACCGAGGAAACGCCACCCCTCCCCGCCCACCAGCTCCGCTCGCCGGCTGCGCTCCGGTCTGCCCCCCCCTCCCCGTCCCGCAGGCACCTCCGCGGGCTTCGCCGCCGGCGCTGCTAAAGGGCGAACGGGGAGGCGGCGGCGGCGCCAAGCCGGGAGGAAACCCCCCCCCCCATCCCCCCGAGGCGCGCGCCCGCCACTCCGCTCCGGCCGTCGGGTGGTGGCGGCGGCAGGCGGAGGGGCGGGAGTGCCCGAGAGCGCGCCCACCGACCCCCGAGGCGCCGTCGGGAGCCCGAAGAGGCGTGGACGGGACAGCCCAGGAGGGGAACGGCGAGCCGGAGCGACCCAGGCGAGTGACGGGCTGGGGAGAGGGAGGAAGGGGGTCGCGATGGGGGTCCCCGGGCACCAGGCTGCCGATCGTGGCGCATCCAGCCCTCCTGGCGCCTCGGGCCGGCGAGGACACCTCGGGTGGGTTGGCAGAGCCCGCTCGCCAAATATAGCACGTGCGCGCCTCTTGCCAAAGGGGGCGGGCAGCCTAGCACGCCCCCTCCCCGCTCCTCCCACCCACCCTCCCTCCCTCCCTCTGCCCATCGGTGGGGAAGGCACATCTGGAGAGGCGGGGGGGCCGGCGCGCTCTGCCAGGGCGCGTGGGCTTCGCTTAGCAACCCAGCCTCGAATCCACCTCCGTTTTTAGGGGGAGGGGAGGCGGGAAGGGGAGGGGAGGGGGGGAACACCTGAACTGAAACGGGGGAGGGGAGCGTACGTTGCACTCTCCGCCGCTGCGTCCTCCCCCGCTTCTTCATCACACACACACACACACACACACACACCCCAGTTCCCCGTGTCCTCGCCGAGTTGGAAGGAACTTTGATAGCTTGAGTATTTGCCGCGCGTTCTCGGTTGTGGCTGAAATTCCCACGACCTGCTCTCCGCCGGCTAACTGGACCCAGCCTGGGGTTTTTTGCGTTTTTTTTTATTTTTGGTTTTTTTTTTATTTTGGGGAGTTTGCAGGCGGGTCGATGGAGGCTTGAACGTTTGTATTCGCGCGCGGTGCGTAGTTTTCCGCTTTGATTCTCTGGTGGCTAGTTTGATGCTTTCGCGTTTTGGGTGCGTCGATTGGATGCCTCGATGCCGCAATCTGGCGAATTCACTAACCAGGTTCAGGAATGCGGACCCTCCGCCGGGAACTCACCACAAGGGGCCAAAAAGCAGCTGGTTAGATTGCGCCCGGGGGAGGACCCCGCAGCCATTGAAGGAGAACGTTTCAGAGGTTGAACCCCCAGCAGGGCGGGCAACAGTTCCCCAAGACCAGCCTTGGGCTCGTGTGATTCCCCCCTCCCATTCCCAACCAGCCCTTGCCTTGATTGGCATGGCGATGGGAGTTGTAGTCCACCGCTTCCAGGGAGTGGAATGATAACTTAGAAATGCCATTATGGAACGGTAGAGTGTTCTGTTCTTTTCTGCCCTGCTCATTTCTGGAAACCTCCCCAAATTGGTATATGATCAGATTAGGGCACGCTGAACAGTAGTAATAAGTGCAGGATCCAATCTGGGTGGGTCCTCTGAGTTTGGGGCTCATAGTGGAGCCCATCCTCAAGGGACTTCTCTCACACTAGAATGTATGCTTGAAAGGAAGGCAAAACCACTGGTCCCAGTGATGGACCCAGATTGGATCCTGCAGCATTATCCTGGATGGAACATGTATATTTGCCTTCATTCGTGAATAGCGTAGTAGTAGTAGTGGTCATATTCCTGCATTGGTCACAAGATGGATCTAAATGACATCCTTTCCAACCTCTCATGATGGAAGTGTCCCTGCAGCTTCCAGGCAATGTTGCTCCCTTAGACTCAGTTTCCATCCAGAAAATGGGAAGGTTTTTAGCCACTGGATTTTTTTGTGCATATCCACACTCCCCCTCCCCCACTTATCACTTATATTCCAGTCATTCCCTTTGGGGTTAGTATAAGACTGCTTGTTAAGCATTTGATGCCATAATGAATTCTCTTCTTTGCTGGAGGCGTCTACAGAAAAGCTTTATGGCCCTCTGCTGGAGTTGCTATAGAAGTACATTCCTACACTACACAAGGGGTCAGTCTGGATGACCTCCGAGATATTTCCCACCCATCAGTCTTGGGTTCTAGTTTGGGTGGCTGAGGTGGCAGAGTCTTCTGCCAGGGATCCTTTGAGCTAAGCTGCTGTGAGATACCCGGAATTGTTTAAAGATGGGCAGTCAGAAGAGAGCGTTAAGTAAAATACATATACTGTATAAGCCTCTGTCACTGCTTCAGCTATCTATGACGAAAGCTGCCTTGTAAGCATCTGCAGTGTGGCTCATGTTGCATTACTAAGTGCGAAATTAAAAACGGCACTGATGAGTGAAAGTTAGGACCAGCATTAGCCCTGGACACGGCGAAGGTTTTAAGGGATGAAGGTTGATACCTGTTTTAACTTTGTTCAGAGATGTGTCAGGATGAAGCTTGGATGTTGTGGGGGTGGGGGAGAGGGACAATAGGTCTTCCAGAACTGAATTGTGGGTTGTGAAACAGATGGAGCTGCAGGAGACATTGTTGTTGTTGTTGTTAGTTGCGAAGTCGTGTCCGACCCATCGTAACCCCATGGACAACGTTCCTCCAGGCCTTCCTGTCCTCTACCATCTTCTGGAGTCCATTTAAGCTCAGGCCTCCTGCTTCAGTGACTCCATCCAGCCACCTCCTTCTCTGTCGTCCCCTTCTTCTCTTGCCCTCCATCTTTCCCAGCATCAGGCTCTTCTCCAGGGAGTCCTTCCTTCTCATTAGGTGGCCAAAGTACTTGAGTTTCAGCTTCAGGATCTGGCCTTCTAAAGAGCAGTTGGGGTTGATCTCCTCTAGGACTGACCGGTTGGATCGCCTTGCCGTCCAGGGGACTCGCAGGAGTCTTCTCCAGCACCAGAGTTCAAAGGCCTCCATTCTTTGGCGCTCAGCCTTTCTTATGGTCCAACTTTCACAGTCATACATTGCAACTGGGAAAACCATGGCCTTGACTATATGTTGGCAGGGTGATGTCTCTGCTTTTTAGTATGCTGTCTAGATGGGACTAGAAATTATTAACACTCAGTTTCTACTGCCTTAACTCATTGAAACAAGCCAATATATTCATTTGGGCTGTTTTGTGTGAAGGGTTCCCCAACTCCGCCTAGCCAGGGTTGATCAACTTTCTTGCAGAATTTAGGAAACACTTCACAAAAAAAGTGTATTTCACCCATGTTTCCATTTGCTCAGTGAATACATTAAAGCACAAAACCAGCGTAAACGAAAAACAAAAAGAAATTATCCAAGGATATGTAAACTGTCAGGGCGGTTCCCAGGATGTGCTGATCTGCAACCATTAAGCCAGGTCAACGCAGCTCTTCAGGTTTATAAAACGTGGTTTGCATCTCAGTGTGTTGTGTAAAGGCAGCCCATAGTTGAGGAAATTAGGGTCAATTCCTGCCTTAAAGGGTGAACCAGAGATTGGAGGAGACTGTTCGTGGCAAGGAGAATTAAAAGGTGTCTCAAAGCATTTCAGAATCGCCCTCCCTTGATATGATAAGGCAGGTCTGTAGTATCTCAGGTGGGTTATGATGCTGGTCTCTCAAGAAGAATATTGTAAAAGCAGCCTTTGGGGGGAGAAAGAACGCAAGGACTCGCTGCCCTTTCCCCCACCCTAAATCAATATTTTGAGGCAGCTCCGTGTCGTTTTTGCCTAATGACAGGTTTGCCTCCCAACAGCCTCGTAATGTGTGTTTTTGCTGAGCTAGCTTTACAAAATGCAGGTTAGTGTGCTCTTTCCTCCAGGGACAGGAACTGGCTCCAGAGTCACAAGCTTCTTTGCTAAATATATACCAGGAAGAAGGTGTAGCAAAACCCAGTGGGGTCGTCTATAATCTAAGTGTATCTCAGATTATGGATAAGTTGCGTCTTAAGCGAATAAATTGCTCCAGGCTGCCCCCTTCACTTCTGCTTTTGAGAGCACAACAGAGAGAGAGAGAGAAAAAAATTCTCCAGCTTTCCTACAACTATTATTCCATTAGGGAAACAGAAGGATTTGAAGCACAGTCAGTGAAAACCAATGTCATCATAACATTCTAGGTTGTTTGTTTTTTTAAAAAGCGTTGCAAAATCTCTGCCACAGCAATTGTGAGTACGGGATAGGACTCACATAAGGATGAATCACGCACACACAGACACAATCCTGCACCTGTTTCAAGGTGGGTGGATTTGAAACAACGCAGGATTCTGTTCAATTTGCTCTTTTTTTTTTTTTCTTCAATCCATTCCTTGCCCGCCAGCTCTCTGAGGGATTTATTTACTGGCTGAATTGATCTTGCTGAACATTTCTGAGCGATTTGCAGAACTGAGAATAAAGACCACATTCGAATACGCTGGAGGTGCCAAAGCAGCAATTAAAAGACAACAGTGCACTGGCTGGGCGAGGGGTAGAAATTCAATTTCTATAGTTGATCCATCTGTTAGTTGATAATACATTTCCTTGATCCTCTCTTCTTCCAACAATATTCTCCTTTTGTCTACATTAAAGAAATATAATTCTTAACACTTTCAATACATACAGAGTTGGGTATAAACATTGTTTCTAGTATTTATACGTATAACAAAAACATCAACATATAACCTCTTTTCTAATCAGCTTATGTTTCAATTGTATTTAAAAATAATCATCTTATTAAGTCATTGAAAAAAATAAAGCTTTCTTAGATAAATGTACTCCGGCAAAAAAAACAAACAAAAAAAAACGTGCAAACTTTTTAAACAGCCTCCGTGAAATTAATCAAAAGTCCTCGTTTTATGAGCAGCCAGTTCTCGTGCATTCCGGTAACTCGGAGGTGTTTCCGTGCAGAACCACGTAAGTGGGCTTGCTGCAACTGGTGGAGAGCAGTTGCTTCTGGATTCATTCCCTGAATTTTTTCCGCCCAACTCCGCAGATTGACGTCTAAAGCTGATCTGCAAAACAGAAAAGAACAGAAAATAAACTATTCGGCACAAAGAACATTGCATTAAGACGATGCCTTAAAGTTTGCTTTGGGGAGTTTTGATGGATCGATGCAGCGTTTGGCTTGAGGGCCATTCAAATCATGAGGGCCGCAGTGAGTTTAGGTAAGCTCTTCCAAATCTACACACTCACACGCACACAAACACACACAGAGGACCCTCACTTGCATCTCTTGCACTTCCGGTCGCGTTGGTGAGAAAGGCAAACCGATAGATCCGTATTGAGGTGGACCCAGAGGAACCTTATTTCTGGCTGGTTCTTTGGAAATTAAAAAAAAAAGGCAAAATGGAGTCCCTCCACCCAGTGAGGAAAAGTGAGAGCGGCACTTCCTAAGAAAAGTAAAGAAAAAAGCCAGCACCCTTTCCGTCTGTGATGATAACCAGGCTCTCCTTGATTTGGACATTTGATCGGAAACTGCTATTGAGTGTCTTTTCCCAGCAGATAAAGCCAAGTTGTCACTCAGACACCAGATGTGGAACTCCCTTCTTTTTAATCAGGAGTGTTCAACTGCGGCAACTTTTAAGACTTGTGGACTTCAACTCCCAGAATTCCTCAGCCAGCATGGGAAAATGTGCACGCTCCATCATAGGAGGTTCTTAAGAAGATATTGGACAGCCATTTATCCAGAATGTCATAGGGTCTCTTGCTTGATCAGGGGGTGGGATTAGAAGACCCCTGAGGTCCCTTCCAGCTCAGTTTGTTATTCTGTCTTTTTATTATTCTAAGATTTGGAAGCCTAGAAGCCCAGGATAAGGAAGGAACAGTTCTGGGACCTTCCCACATCGTTATTATTAGCTGCAGACCCCTTGGTCTTCCTCCAGATCAGCTGCACGTTCCCACACTCCTGCGCTCCTTTAAAATGCCACCGAGATGATCAACGGGCATTTTTTCTCTGCAAGAGGTAGAATTTACAATGGTTTTCACCTTGACAGGAACAGGTTCAGCCAGCGAGTAAGGGTTGTTCAGCCTGTTCAGAGTGCCATCCATCTTAATTCTTTTGACCAGAGCAGAATGAACGCAAGCCAGGGGTAATAGAAAAACTCCAGATTTTGCCTGGAAAAACTTTTTTTGCTGCTGGCAAGCATTTTTTATGAGTCTCGGTCAAGGGTGCAAAGCACTTAAGGAAAAAGGTGCCCTTAGCCTGATGGGCACAGAATGCCTAAGGTTGCACACTTTTAGAGCCATCTGCACAGTTTTGTGTTAGGTGTTGTTGTTAGTTGCGAAGTTGTGTCCAACCCATCGCAACCCCATGGACAACGTTCCTCCAGGCCTTCCTGTCCTCTACCATCTTCTGGAGTCCATTGAAGCTCACGCCTACTGCTTCAGTGACTCCATCCAGCCACCTCATTCTCTGTCGTCCACTTCTTCTCTTCCCCTTCATCTTTCCCAGCATCAGGCTCTTCTCCAGTGAGTCCTTCCTTCTCATTAGGTGGCCAAAGGACTTGAGTTTCAACTTCAGGATCTGGCCTCTAAATCAGTTGGGTTTGTGGCAACTGACAGATGGCCTTCCCTAACACAGAACTACTTGAGCCAAAGAATGACCAACTTCTCCTGACTACAGCTACCTGGCACCAGCAGGCAAGGGGGCCTTCCCAGTAAGACTGCCCAATGCCCCATTTGGACTATGGGGAGTGATCACTATGCTCCAGTGTGATATAGTGTCGTAAGAATGCTGCAGTTGCCAAAAAAGCTAATTAGACTGCATCAGCAGAGGGATAGAATCAAGATCGCGTGAAGTGTCAATGCCATTTTATAATGTAAGACCACACTTGGAACACTACAATTTTGGTCAGGATGTTGAGACTCTATAAAGAGTGCAGAAAAGAGCAACAAAAGTATTTAGGTTGGAGGCTAAAACATATAAAGAACGGTTGCTGGAATTGGATATGTCTAGTTTAATGAAGAGAAGGATGAGGGATGACATGATAGCAGTCTTTCAATATCTTAGGGGGTTGCCACAAAGAAGAGGGAGTCAAGCTATTCTCCAAAGCGCCTGAAGGCAGGACAAGAAGCAACGGATGGAAACTAATCAAGGATCGAAGCAACCTGGAACTAAGGAGAAAAATTTTGACAGAACAATTAACCAGTGGAACAGCTCGCCTTCAGAAGTTGTGGGTGCTCCATCACTGGAGGATTTTAAGAAGAGAGTGGACAGCCATTTGTCCAGAATGATACAAGATCTCCTGCCGTGGGCAAAATTCAAAGTCCCTTCCAACCCTATTATTCTGTGTTCTGTATTCTAAGATGTTGCCCTAGCACAGGGGTAGACAACCTTGGCTCTTTTATGACTCGTGGAGTTCAACTCCCAGAATTGAGTGAGCATAGCTCGCTCAGGAATTCTGGGAGTTGAAGTCCACGAGTCATAAAAGAGCCAAGGTTGCCTACCCCTGCCCTAGCACTAAGGAGATGCAGGCTCTACATCCACTTTTGCACCTTGTCAGCCTTTCAAGCTAGTGCAGAGGAGAAGCACCAACTATTAGTTTTTATATGACCTTTCCTTTAAGGCTCCAGTGACTTTGCAAGGCTGAAAACATTTTGCCCCTTCTTGGTATTTACTTTCCAGAAAACTAGGGAGGGTCCTTTCTAAGATGCTTCCCACACCCCTTTTCTTTTTGTGGGCTGAAATACCTCTTGCATGATGGTTGTCCAGCCTGGGATTCTTCCTCCTGTCTTCCAAAGCCATTCACCACAGACCGTTATATACTTGGAGATTTGAGTTTCTCATGCTGTCTTAAAACAGCCCACCCCCCATGGCGAAAAATGAAGAAACAAGTGCAGTGATGTTGGCTTGAACTCCCAGAGAAGAAGTGGGATATAAATCAATCGAACAATAAACCTAAAAAAACAATAGCAATTGTTTAGGCACTGCATGTTTAAGAGACTACATGTTTACTCAGACCTTCTAACCATTTTGTGTGCGTAGGGTTTCTCCCCCCCCTTCTCTCCAATCAGATTGAAATGCTTTTTGCTTAAATTATTATAATTCTAGATTATTATCTTTGTAGCGTAATTGTTTTTTAAAAAAAAAAAAAAAAACAATGTACACGACTCCACAAGAGGTAGTATAAAATGTCTTAAATGATAATGATAATATATGTGCTTTTCCACCTACCCATTCTCTTTTGTTAAGGCTTAATTAAGGATATAGCATACTGTATCTAGCAAGGAATGAACAATCCAGAACTAGCTTAGTTATTATAAGTTTTCTTAATATGTTTGGGTATGTTTGGGTGAGGAACCTTGGTGCAAGTTCTCTCCTAATTCACAGGGTCAGCCCATGCAAAAAAACCCTCCCCCTCCAGCCTCTTTTAGGAGAAGCTTCTTATAAGGATTATAACCACGTTGCTATCTTAGGTCTTTTCTCACCCGTGTTCTTGTTTGTTAAGCTTAAACTAATGCCCGGTTAATGTAGGAAGTACATTCATTCTAATAAAAACAAATTAAAAAGAAGAAAATCCTTGCATTGAACATTATGACCTTGGAAAGCCAAAGAAAGTAAGAAACAAATTGCTGGAAACTGCCAGCTCAGCTAGAAGGAGGAGTTAAGTGAAGGCCTAGCTTGGAATCCTTCCGCAGTGGCAAGTGGCATACGCTTGACTTCGGCCAAGATCCATAAAGCCTTGTCTGGTTGTTCCCAGGGGAAGGCAAGCAGTCTGGGGAGATGCTTGTAACGTAAGTGGTAGGCAATACAGTTACTTACTTTAGGTGTTTGCAAGAGGCTCTGGTTGTTTGTGCCTGACCCAAATAGGATGTCCATACAGCAAGAAGGACAGTTCTTAATGATGTAAGAATGACTTCTGCCTCCAAAGACTGCCAGATTGTGCCATTTTCTCTGTAGAACTAGCTACCTGTAAACTATAGATGTGATACCAATAAAGGAGAATATTTGTAGCTGAGGGTTGACATGAGGGCTCCTTGGTGCTCTCTGAGCTTGCTTGTTTTTTTGCACACATTTCATTACCAAAACTAGGTAATATCATCAGTGCTAGAAAGGAATGGAGTTTGGGGATGGGGAGGAGGAGGAGGAGGAGGAGGAGGAGGAGGAGGAGGAGGAAGCTCTTCCTCTTCCTCTTCCTCTTCCTCTTCCTCTTCCTCTTCCTCTTCCTCTGGGGGGGGGATCCTTGATGCTCTCTGAGCTTGCTTGTTTTCTTGCAGACGTGTCATTACCCAAACTAGGTAATATCATCAGGGCTAGAAAGGAATGGAGTTTGGGGATGGGGAGGAGGAGGAGGAGGAGGAGGAGGAGGAGAAGGAGAAGGAGAAGGAGAAAGAGAAGGAGAAGGAGAAGGAGAAGGAGAAGGAGAAGGAGAAGGACTGGGGGGGGATCCTTGATGCTCTCTGAGCTTTCTTGTTTTCTTGCAGACGTGTCATTACCCAAACTAGGTAACATCATCAGTGCTAGCCCATCCCTTTCTACCACTGATGATGTTACCTAGTTTGGATAATGAGACATCTGCAAAAAAACAAGCCAGCTCAGAGACACACACCCCCCAGGACCCCCCAGTCCTTTTCTTCCTCCTCCGCAAACCCCAGCACTGATGATGTTTATAATGCTCCCTTATAATGCTCCTTTGCTGCAGTGCTTCTCCGTTCTTGGGATAAAAACTACCCTATGGGTGGTCAATAAATTTGATAAATACATACATACACACTTGGGTTCATTCCTACCCCCCCAATAGCCAAGCAGAATCCTGACACGTCCAAGGCACTCGGGCTGTCTCCTACCTCTTTTGCAGGACATCCCAACTCTTTCCTGATCCTTGGGTTGCAGAGGCCCTGCCGTGCCAGCTTCCCTCGGCCAGGCACCATTTTGAATCTCCCCGATTTCTGACACTTGATCCGGAGGTTTATTCTTAGCCATCTTTTGCCCTTCCCGGGCCTTCTCCCCAGGGGCTGCCGGCGTCCCTTCCCTCCCCCCCCCCCCATGTCTGCTTTCATTTCACGTGTAAATGTTTTCCCTTAATCTGCCCATTGGATACGGCTTTCGGCTTTCAAGGCACGTTTGTTTGTGACTGACATGCTGTCGACAAACATTGTACAGTTCTGTCTGGAGCAGCTCGCTTCTTCCGTGGAGTGAGAGGAGGCTTGATGCTGTTTGGAAATAAATTGCGAGGTATGAAATATGCTCTTCGTGGGCATATTTAATTGCCAGTTATTACCGTCATTATCTCTCTTTTTTTTCCCCCTAAGCTCCCACCTACCCACCCATAACGCATCCTGCAAGCCTGTGGATTTTTCAGAGCTAAGAGTGCGCATCCCAGAATAACAGAATGACAGAGTTGGAAGGGACCTTGGAGGTCATCTAGTCCAACCCCCTGCTCAGGCAGGAAACCCTATCCCATTTCAGACAAATGGCTGTCCAGTCTCTTCTTTAAAACCTCCAGTGTTGGAGCAGCCACAACTTCTGGAGGGAGGTCGTTCTACTGTTTGATTGTTCTAACTCTCAGGAAATTTCTTCTTAGTTCTAGGTTGCTCCTCTCCTTGGTTAGTTTCCATCTGTTGCTTCTTGTCCTGTAATAGGGGGGGAGAGAGAGGGGGGGAGAGAAGAAGAAGAAGAAGAAGAAGAAGAAGAAGAAGAAGAAGAAGAAGAAGAAGAAGAAGAAGAAGAAGAAGAAGAAGAAGAAGAAG